ACACACGTAAAATACTTTGTTTTTAACATAATTTTTACCAAAAATATTGAAACAAAATGAGTTTGAAGATGCTGTTCGTATTAATACCACCCTCTCATTTAACAGAAAATGCTGTAAAACATTTTATTGTTTCAAAGTCTATGTTGAACCGTTTTGCTTCAGATATTTATTCTGACCAAAATTCCGACCAAAACATACCTAAGGAGTAAAATGAGTGAAACTCGACTGGCTGATTTATGTTTAATGCATCATGATCTTCAGATAATTATTGATGATGTTGTGAAATAATATTTTAAGAGAAACAATAGACGTATATATGATAAGGATGTGTTATTTGATTAACTCATTGTATTTATATTGCCAGTGACAGTCTTCAGAGTTAAGGTGTTTTTCAGATGGACTGTTACTAACACTCAATTAATACAATTCAATATTCATTGCTTATTAATTTAACAAACGAATGGAACTTTCATATATTTGAGGAGTGATGGAATTTATTTTATCTTGTTCGTTTAACTTTGAATAATCATTTAGTTTACAGTTTTGTGCATTAATTGTGAAATTATTTGTTTTTATATAGTTTCTTGTATGTAGTTCTTTTTTAAGCCTAAATTTGTTCATATATGAACTTGTATATTGACATCGTTTGGAAATGCTGATTATTTTGGCAAAATGTTTGTGTAGGTGTAATTTGCAAGTGTTAAATATCAAAATAACGATGAACATAATACATAAGAATTTTGTTACTTCAAAGATTTATCACCATCTTATACCTAAAATCACTAAGCATAACCGTAAAATAATTAAAGCATTTACTAGGATAATAAGTGGAAATTTAAAACAAACATATTATAAAAACCTATATTTTCAATGTTGAATATTGATCGAACCAGCGAATTTTCTCTGAAACACGTCTTCACCCATTTCAGATTGTTAAATCACAAATATATTATTGTTCTTACATATGTGCCCTTTTACAGGCTGAACCCCTTCCTTCAAATAATTGTGTATCCGCGCCTCTTATAGTTACTGTTAGAACAAGGTAGGCGCTAGGTCTGTTCAAGAAAGATGATAAACGAAAATATGACATCTCGGTTTTCTCTATTCGCCGGTTTTGGACTTTGTGACGCTCTGGATAGCTGAAAAGTGGACTTACACCAGAGATAGAGCGGCTATGACAGATAGCTCTTCATATCTAGCTTCAGATGACTTGTTGGACTTGTGGGATCAGTTCAGTGGAAGAAGGGAGGTTTTTTGTAATGGATGGTTTACATTTAAATAAGATAAGGGCTGGCTTGTTTGCTAAGGCTATTAACTCAGCTGTAATGGAAGTTTTAAACTAGGACTAGGCAGTGGTGAGGGCCAGGAAAAACTAAATGCAAAAAGAATAAGAGGCAGAGAAAAGTTTAACATAGGAAATGAGTATAGAAGTAGTTATAAGGATAGTGTTAATTGTTACTGTTGTAACGCTAGAAGTATAAGAAATAAAATAGATGATTTTAGAGCACTGGTAGGAATGGAGGATTTTGACATAATGGGAATAACTGAAAAATGGTAAAACATAGATGATTTTGATGACAGAAATTTCTTTGAAATACAGTGTTACAGGATATTTATTAGGGATAGAATATTAAAGAGGGTTAGGGGAGTGACTTTATATGTAAAATGTGAGTTACATCCTGTTGAACTTGAAGATAATAGCAAGGAGATTGAATCCATACGGGTTTCTATTAGTGGATATATAGGGATAAGGCTTTTTGTGGGAATTTGTTACAGATCACCAGATGATATTGATGAAATTAGTGAGAAACTTTACAATGATGATTAATATTTCAGCTGTTAATCAAGTCATAATTATGAGTTATTTTAATTCCAGGCATATAGATTGGGAAATGCTAGAGTGAAACCTGGGATGGAGGGGTTTCCATACAAGAAGAGTTTGAAATCTCTCAAAATGTTTTCTCTTGAGAAAAGAAGAGTTAGGGGGGGGGATCTGATTGAGATGTTTAAGATTTTAAAGGAAATTGATAGTGTTGATGCATCATCTTTTTTCATTTAACAGCGAGAATAGTAGAACTAGGGAACACAAATATAAATTTTGGCAGGGTAGGAGTCATTTTCAGCTAAGACATTTTTATTTTTCTAACAGAGTGATTGGCCTTTGGAATGGGTCGGTCTCGGATGTTGTGGGGCCAGTAAATTTAAGTGAGTTTAAGAGAAAGTTTCATTAATATGTGAATGATAAGGGCTGGCATTAAGATTTTTTTCTTTTCTTATTTATTTATTAATAGTTTTAGTTTAGTTCAGAAAATGGAACAGCCGAGATGGACCAATAGGTTCCATATTGTCCCAAAATGTTATGTTGTATGTGTGTATTGTTTTTGTCTTTTTTTTACTCCTTCACTTCATACATAATATAGAGGTTGACTCTCGAAAGACACCGATTGTATAGTGTACAAAACATTGAGTATTCTACATGTTTCAGTAATCTAATTTTCATCTATTATTGGCTGGTAATTCCTGATTTTTCTTTTTTAAATTTTTCATTGAATAATATTAAAATAGGTAGTCAAAGATCATGAACAGTGTTTTGCTAAATCAAATGAGGATAAAACTATAATTACTGCTAGAACTAGTAGACGCTAGGCCTGTTGAAGAAAGATTATAGTGTCTGTTTTTGTAGTTAAGCGCAAAGCTACACAATGGCCTATCTGTGCTCTGCCCACCACGGGTATTGAAACCCGGTTTCTAGCGTTGTAAGTTCGTAGACATACCTTTATGCCACTGGGGGGCAAGATGATGATGACCGAAAATAAGAAATTCCGGTTTGTCTATTGATCAGTTTTTCGACTTTGGTACGCTTCTGATGAATTGTAAGGAAGAAAATCTAGATGACTTTTGTATTACTTTCATACGAGCGTCCGTGTCATCCCTACATAGAGAGTGCTATCGAACTCTCCGATGATGCAAAAAATGGTATATTTTGTATAATTAGCCTCTATCTGTCCGAGTGCGTGTATTGATGTATATTGTAGTCGAAAGTACGAATATTAATTCAGGCTGGATATATTTTAGCCGAAAAGTCTGGACTCTGCTTGTGATTATTCATTTCATGATGTTTAAAGTGAGAGAGTCGAGTTCATTGACTCATAGATGGCAGTAAAGTGACTGTCAAGACATCTCTGGAGGAAGAGCTTTTTAAGATTACCGTATACGAGTCATCGGGAAGTCTGATGGTTACCATACACATACACGATAATATGTGATGGTGCTATATATCTATATGTGGTATGATATATTTACATATATATAGTAATATATGGTTATATTTGATGGTTCAATATACGTACATTCACATTAGACATGAAATTCTTCATGAGTGTTGCATCATACAAATGAATCAAATACCCAGAAAATACAACTATCATGCAACACATGAATTATAAATAAACGGTTTGATCTTAATGTTATGATTATGATATATGAAATGAAACTTCAGACGCAATATCAGTCTTAGGTTGTAGTACATATAAGTCCTTCAGAAACAAGGGAAGATCAGGCTAGAGAGCTCTTTTTTTATTATTTAACTTTCCTGCTGTACACACAATTCATTATTTCATGTTTTTTTATGAAAACTGTTAAACTTAGAAATAACTCAAAATGCTGTGATGCCATAGAACTCATTTCGTATCAAATATATTTCTTCGCTTGAACTTTAATTACAGGATTTTTAAAAACTGCCATAATTTCAGAAGTTTGTAACCTTTAACTATTTATATACTAGAAAATGATTTTTCCTGCCTAAAGGGCATTTCACATATTTTTCTATTTTCAAAGTAAAACAATATCAGGTATTTGTGGGCAAATCCTTCCTTCTTTTTACCCAAGACTAGAGCTTTAGGGAAGCTTAACCCTAAAATATTTATAATGCTATTTTTAATAATTCATCTTGTATTCTTTCATTACTTATTTAACAAGTAAAGAATTTTGTTTTCAAAAAAAGAAATAAATGTAAGGATGGCTAATATCAAGCCTTCAAAAATAATGCAAACAAGATAGTAGGGATGGTATTTGCATCATCGCTATATAACAGCACAGGCATACAGTGTAGTAGAATGTTAATAGACAAAAATAAGACAAATTAAACTTAATTGTGATTGAATAGTTATATATATAATGCTATATGTTAATTCTTGCCTATGCTATTGTGCAGGGGTGATGCAAATGCCATCCCTACTATTTGGTTTAGATTGTTTTTGAAGGATTGATATTAGCCATCCCTACATTTACTTCCTTTTTTTTAAGTTTTTTCTTTACTTGTTAGCTTGTTTTTCTAATGCAATTTTCCAATAGACATAGTAAGGTTTTATTTATAACCAAGTTATAAATGCAATGAGGTTCCAACTGTAATATTTATTGCTTATCTATTACAGGCTGATAATTCTTGTTTTACCCTGTACTTAAGTTTTTTGGGGGAACAGTCAATTTCTGTAAGAGAGAGAAAACTTCAAGGGGTATTGATAACATTGTCTATACTAGAATTATGATTTTTTAAAATTACTACCAGTTATTAATAATACTTATAAAAGTGGATACTCCGTTTGAAACTATTTCACCTCAGTGACACCAATGTTTTGGTTTTTGAGTTATCATGTAATAAAAAAAAAGAAGCATCAGAAAAAAGAACAATAAATTCAAATTTTTTGCTCTGATACTTACAGACATTCCCAGAACGTGTGACTCAGTCATTACATAGATATTGTTATAAAAGGATACACTGTATAGTATTGTAAAGTTCTGATGACTTATTGAGGAGATATCAAAAATATCATTTCGATGAACAATCTGAGCTATCTCTACATAGATAGTGCTACTGCCTGCCTGCTAGTCTTTGTTTCATTAATATGTAAGATAAAATTCATACAGTATTGCTATACATGAATACTAACCATAAAGAAGATACATTAAGGTCAATGATTTATAATAATCTGGTCGCTTACCATTATTGAGAAGGTTGTACTGGTCGGCCGTCATACGCGATACTCAAAGAAACTCAGTAACATTACTTGATAAGCGCGTGGTGGTTTTAGCATCACGTAACGTGACGAAATAAAAACTACGTTGTCCCTGACCCAAGTGTGATAACACCCTTCTACTTCGTCGATGTTCTGAATAAACACGAACTTTAGAAAGTCTTGAAAGATTAAAGTATGAAACTGTTGACGCACTCCTTAGTTCGAGTTGGCAACAACCAGGAAACACTGGTTATGCGTGATTTAGATATGAAAGGTTTAAGGAATAAATTCAGAATTTGAAAAGGGATTCAAGTTCTCAGCATGTGGCCAAACTACTATGGCGTTTGTAGATTGTTTCGTTATGTAACTGATTAGATTGAATTTCTTTTTACGTCCATGAAAAAGATACTTATAAATATTTAAATACAATTCATAATCTTGTACACTTTGTGGGGAAAAATAAAAAATAGTAACTTCGTTTCTTAGTTTGCTTTGAAATGAGTGTTTATAACCGAACCTTGCAAGAGCGCTAGTGTTTAGAAAACTATAAGTTATTTAAAACTTAATCTACACAAACATATATTGAAAATCGATCTCATATGAAGTGTTGAAGTGTCAGGCACGATGTTTAAATTAAATTATGTTTTTGTAGATTTTAAATCTCTCTCTTTATAGCAAGGTTGAAGAAAATGAAAACTTGTAACTCTTCAAGTGGTATTTATTTGTTCTTTTCAAGATGACTAAGTTAGTAAATGATTAAATTGGTGTTTATAATCTAACTGAACGAGCGTGGTTGTACTCAAAATTGGTAGTAATACAATGGTTTGACTTAATAAATGATTACAGACTGCTTAACTGTGTCATAATGTTCAGAATCCAAGTCTATTGGTTGACTGCTATTGTACATTAGTTTGACGTTATAGATGAGATACAAAAGTGTAAAATAGGTGCTTAATGTTTCCTAATGTTGCGTGGTTACAGCTGTATATAAGAATGTTAATTACTTTCTACTTGCACTGGATCACAGCAGCATGCTGATTAAAGTTTGGTTTTAATGGATTGCAGCGAGTGTATATCAGTATTGTTATTATTGTTTGCTCGTAAAGTTTGGTTTTAATGGATTACAGTACGTGTATATCAGTATTGTTATTATTGTTTGCTCGTAAAGTTTGGTTTTAATGGATTACAGCACGTGTATATCAGTATTGTTATTATTGTTTGCTCGTAAAGGCTTAATATTTTAAGCATATTATTTAATATGTAGTTATGAATGTGTTAATATCGGTACCTTCTAAGTGAGCAAGCTAGGGTTCTGTTGCCTATATATTTAAGATAAGTGCTGCTGAGATGTGTTTGGGAGTCTGTATTGCAAATTCTAACCTCCTGACTATATTATGTAGTCTTTGTTGTAAATGATTCACTCTCCTGACATCCATAGTTGTTTACATGAGACAGAAGAAGACCGATGTGGCTATCAGTGTGATTGACTACTTCGAGAATGCCTTGAGTTAATAAGTTATGAATATGTTGTCTATCGGTTCAAAGAGTCATAAAGTATTGATCCAATACTTAGAGCTAATACGTTATAACTGTGTTGGCTACCGATTTACAGAGCCATAATACGTGGATCCAACTATTGAGTCAGTGTGTTATATACCTGTTGTCTACTGATTTATAGGGTCATAATACGCTGAGTTAATGCATAGCAGTTTCTGCAATTTGATTAATTAATGTCAGTCTTATCATATGGTACTTACCAATTTTGGGCATAGCACGAGTACACTGTGGAGAGACCAACACTGAAATTACATTAGCTCTTGATAAAGGTGGGGCAGACCTCTTTTCCAATGTATGAGTGAGTGGCCAAGGAAGAGGTGGGCCGTGCCCTAGAATATTTCACACAGATAACTGTCTGTAATGAGCAGCCTCAAGGATAGGCAATATTATACCTAATGCTTAATCTGCATGGCCCGGTACTAGAGTCAGTTAAGTGGATGGTGAGGAGGGACAACTGAGATAAGGACAAAGCCCTCTGTAGTTTTGGGTGAGATATAGATGGTCATTTGGTCAAGAAACCATTGCTGTAAGGATGTCATGCCCCTAGCAAGTGGTAGTTCAAAAAGGTGTATGGATAATATTATGTGATGACTACTCAATCAACACAACTAGGACACAGAATGTGAATTGGAAGATTTTTTGGTGGAATTATCATTTTTTACGGAGTTTACCTATATTTACTTTTTTAATGCCAACTAACATGAGTGTATCAACTTGTGTATGATGACGTATTGTCGTCCTTGGTTCGTGTTTGATGGTCATTTCAGAAAGTGAAGACACGTTCTCTGTGGACAACTGTATTTAGTTGGTTACTGGAGTAACAAAGCACAAGTCCTTGGCGACCTCCCAAAAATTATTTGCGCATGTGGCAATGCAAAGAAGCTAGAAACTTATGCGTATGTCAATGTATGTTTGTTATTATATGTATGCAACATGTGTCACTCTTATATGAACTTTACACGAACTCATTCATATGCATTGTCCAATACAAAATAAATAAATCACAAAGACCATGATAAGAGAGTAAAATTTTCTTCATTATATGATTTATTATAACTTTACATTTTTCACTTTTTTTGCTTATTATTTATTATCCTCCCTATAAAAAATGTCCCTTAGTACAAGAAATTCTTATATTTTAACATGGTATCCTTTAAACAAAAATATCCCAAACAATTTCCATCTATAAAATTACATCAGTTATATATACATAACACCATTCCTCTATAATACCATATCACAAGACATAATAATAAAACCCTGTAATCTCATTTCCCACTTGTAAATTAGAGACGGCTAGCGCAGATAGTCCTCGTGTAGCTTTGCGTGAAATTCAAAACAAACCAAACCATTAACATACAAAAACTCAAAAAATAAATCGGAAAAAGAATTAAAATTCTAACGGAATGTAAGGATCGTTGGTTATTCGTAGAATTGCTATAAGAAGTATCCAACATAAAATAAATGCTGCAATAAAAAGTACATAAACAAGTAAAGTGATACTAGTTGGATAGATTTTAAAACGATTTTCTATCCCTTCTCTGAAAATCGTTTTAACATCTATCTGACAAGTATCCCTTTACTTGTTTGTGTATTTTTTATTGCAGCATTTATTTTATGTTGGATACTTCTTATAGCAATTCTACGAATAACCAACGATCCTTACATTCCGTTAGAATTTTAATTCTTTTTCCGATTTATAACTGTTTGAAAAAGAAATATTATCTTTAATAGTATTTAACTCTAGCAAATTATCACTTATTTCTACATAGTATTTACCAGTTAACTTTATAACCTTCTATTAATTCTATTGATGTTGTAACGGTCTAAAATATACAGTCACTACAACCAGAGTTAAAAAAAAAAGCAATTTATTCAACTATAACAACAATTAGAAATAAATTCAACATTTACCAAACATAGTTAATAAACACGTGGGTGACAATTTTGAACATTAAAACAGTTCCTTTTCAAAAATACCTCAATATCTGTTTCAGTTGTGTTTAGAGCACATCGACGAATATACAGTCTTTTCCTAATTGCTTAACTTTTGTCTCTTCTTGAGGGTTTGTTTAATTGAGCTTTGTTGTTTGGGTAGGTTTTTGTATTCATATGACTTAGTTTCTTGACCTATTGACGTGTATTAACTGTTTTCTTACCATATATTTCTTGTAATACAAAATTCACGGAACATGTTTGTTTGATCACTCTGAAGAGTTCTTTTCATAAATTAGCTAGTTTCTTAGCAATGGCAGTAGATAATAAGAAGTTACCTCCTAGCGTAACATCAGTAATTTTTGCTATTTTTCATCAACAATTATTCTCCACTTTTGGCTGACCCAGGTAAATGTTTCTTTGCTATCTTCACTGCTAGTTGCATTCTTTGCAGCATTTCTACTTTATAATCCTTATCTAATGCATAATATATTCTATTGGAGCAAATATTTCTTCCATTGGAAGCATGACATCGCTATGTAATAAGAAGAAAGGACATCTATAAGTGGATTTGTTTACTGTGCTTGTATAAGCTAACAATGATAAGGGGACCTGTTGTTTCATGTCTTTTGATCTGATCTGTAATACTGTGACAACATGTCTAATATTGTTCTGTTGAACCTTCTACTAATGCATTAGGAACTGGGTGATATGTATTTGTCTATTTACCTTACACCTAATTATTTGCTTTTATTTTCATGAATTGTGAAATGAATTTTGTACTTTAATCTGCCAATAGATAATGTTTTTTTTTTTCTACTGAGCTACAATTTAGTTTCCAAAAGCTTTTGTTATAATTTCTGTTCTTTGATGCAGCAAATATATTGTATCTTAATTAAATTGTTTGAAATGGCTAATGTGTATTTGTTTCCTAAATACAGTCTTGTTAATGGTATAAAAATATCAGTGGCTATTATCCAAAATGGTATGGCTACACTTGGCCTTCTCTATAAGGGGTAATTACTTAAATGAGCACTAATCTTACGTGTTTTTTTCTTTTTTTTACACTTAACACATGATTCACAAAAGTTCTTAGCATCCTTCTCGTGTATTGCCAATAGAATATCTTATTTATTCTATTACATTGCTAGATATATATGACTGTTTCAGTTTGAGTTTAATGCAAGCATTATGATTTTAGATAGTTTATATATCGCGGGTGTCATATTTAGTTATTTTTAGAAGCAATATTTTATGATAAGTTTGTTTATGTAAATGTTTATGATTCATAGGTTGTGTAGTTCATTTGTCATGAATTAGCAGTTGTTTACAATAGAGAGATTATTGTGTCATGTTACTAGAACTTTCAGAGTTTCTCGTTGGTTTAATTGAATATTACTGCATCAGAATATCTAGTAATACGAGGAATTTTGTAGACTTCTGTCGGGGTATAAATACGTGTCGAAAAATCATTAGTTGGTTATAGTTTTGGACTGCATGATTGTGATTTTTAACGATAGAGTGTATAGTGGCGATTTTTAAGTAGAAATTATCACAGACTGTATTGTAATGACAAAGTAGAAAAGAATAACTCACCTTGTGAATTGTGTTCTGAAGTAACTGAACAAGCCTGTGTGGACTTTGCTGAAAGAGAGACAATTATTTAAAGCACTGG